CGAAGACATCTCAGATTGAGTCCGGCATACAGAGAAAAGTGCACACAAGCACCATAACTTATTCTCTGTGTGCCTCAGGTTGGCCTGTTGCCCACTGGGCATTCCTTTATCAACTCAGCCAGCTTTTTCACACTCTTCTCTCCAAGGCTTTTGTGTAGTTTAGTTTCAGGCTCAGTTTATGGCTCCAGTTGGAGAGGGGAGAGGGGAACCTGTTTCCTGAGACTGTTGTTCTGGCCCAAGTAAGCAGTTACCATAAGACTCCCTTTGAGGAGCCTTGGGAGGCATGAGACCCCTGTGTGTGGAGCTTCTTCTTTAAATGAGAGCCTTGAACACAGAGCAGCCAGCTGTCTGGGCAACAGGATGGCAGATGGGGCCTGCCCAGTATGGCAGTACTTTTCTGAAAGGAGGCTCCCGTCCAGAGGAGCTGTAGGAGTCAGCAAGATCACAAGATTATGAAGGAGTCCACAATGCCATGAAATTGAAAGAGAACTTAGGCACATGTGGAGTGTGCTAATTTGCTCACAAGAAACAAAAGTGAGATTTCTTCCTCTGTTTTGTCTCTGGGACAGAGAGGGCTTTGCAGTTCGGCTCTTCTGTCTATGCTGTCTTATTTTCTGCTGCTTCTAGTGTCTCTTCTCTCAAGCTCTTATGCTCTCAACTGTGGAGATCCCCCATTTAATTACAAGCACCTAAGTAGCCATAATTAAAGCTTATTCCAGTGAGGAGAAAAGAAAAACCAGGTTTCTTTTCTAACATCCATGTGGGTACCATTCCCCTGGGCAGGAAAGGTTTCTGTGGAAAGTTGTGGGCTTCCCACTTACGTTTCAAGGTGTCATGTTTTCTTTGCCTGACCTGCCTCTACCAGGTTATTGAAAGCAATGGGATGGCAGGAGTATCCTGAAAATGATGAGAATTGCCTCCCCCTCACAGAGGATGAGCTCAGAGAGTTCCACATGAAGACAGAGCAGGTATGTCATAAACCTTTCCTGGAGACAGTTAACAACTAGGAGAGAGATGAGTCAAGACAGTCGTGGCCCTTTGGGAGCCCCAGTTTAGTATGAGAGAAGGACATTGAAAAAGAAAATATAAAGTAAGTTGCCATAGGAGGAATATGGAGGAGGATCTCACTCTGCCAGGGCAATAGGGATCTTCAGTGGTGGATACAAAAATCACGTCAGTTGTTAGCAGATTTCAGAAAGTAGTATGTTCTTTCCTCCCGGAAGCTCTAACCTCTTATCAGAATCACAAGGCTGTGTTCCAGAGTTAGGAGCTGAGCCCTTGGTCTCTAGGGAAGCAGGCTCACCCTCCTCTGTCTCCAGCCCTCTGGTTTTCCTCTGGTACTTGGGCCAGAGCCAAGAAGTCAGATGGCCTATTTGAATTTATTTAACAAATGCTTGGATTCTTTCTCTAAGTAAAACACTGCCAGATGCTAGGGTTTACAGCAATGAACAAGACAAGTAGGTCTCTACATACCTCATGGAGCTTATCTTCTGTTAATATGTATTTAAAGCATAAATTACAATTGTGTTAAGTCCTATAAAGAGAAAGTACAGGCTGACATACAGACCGCTACTCAGAACTCTTCCTCTGGGGCCGGCCTGTTGGCACAAGCAGTTGAGTGCACACGCTCCGCTGCGTTGGCCCAGGGTTCGCCGGTTTGGATCCCGGGTGCGCACCGACGCACTGCTCGTCACGCCATGCTGTGGTGGCGTCCCATATAAAGGGAGGAAGATGGGCACGGATGTTAGCCCAGGGCCAGTCTTCCTCAGCAAAAAAAAAGAAAAAAAAAAAAGAGGAGGATTGGCAGATGTTAGCACAGGGCTGATCTCCTCACAAAAAAAAACTCTTCCCCTGATCATTGACATCACCTGAGAATTTGTAGAACTAGGAAATCTCAAACCCGACCCCAGAACACTGAATCAGAATCTGCATTTTTAAGATCCTAAGATGATCCATTTGCACATTAAAGTTTGAAAAGCACTGCTATAAGAAATCTTCGAGGGGCCGGCCCCGTGGCTTAGCGGTTGAGTGTGCGCGCTCCGCTGATGGCGGCCTGGGTTCGGATCCCAGGTGTGCACCGACGCACTGCTTGTCTGGCCATGCTGAGGCCGTGTCCCACATACAGCGACTAGAAGGATGTGCAGCTATGACATACAACTATCTACTGGGGCTTTGGGGGGCGGAAATAAATAAATAATTTAAAGAAATCTTCAATCTCTTAGAAGGGCACCCCCTCTACATTCTAGAAGCAAATTGAGGCCTGGCCTTGCCCAGGTCCCATGGGCCAGTGTAGTTATTGATAGTTTCTTTTTTCTTTCTTTCCCATGCTAACCACAGCTGAGAAGAAATGGCTTTGGGAAGAATGGCTTCTTACAGAGCCGTGGTTCCAGCCTGTTCTCCCCTTGGAGAAGCACTTGTAAAGCAGAGTTTGAGGACTCAGACACGGAAACCAGTAGCAGTGAAACATCAGATGACGATGCTTGGAAGTAGGCATATAAATGCTTACAGTTAAATCTGACCCAGTAAACTCAGCTTGTGTGTTTAGGAAGTATACAGAAGAATTTGTTCTTTTCCTTTTCTTATGTTGTTATTGAATACTTCATGCACAAGGGAAGTAATCATATCCCGAAGAGAGAGCGATTGGCTTGTTTAGCTTTTGTTGTTGTTGTTCTTCCCTGTTATCTGCTTAATAGAGAGAAGTTTGTGTGGTGGGAAAGATTTTTAAAATAAACACACACACACACACACACACACAGTATATAAGGGGCGATGCACAGGTAGGAACTGGCCGTGCAGAGTGGAGGAGACACGGGTCTGCAGCAACAGCTCCTACTACCAGCCCTTGGGGCACTCACCCCTGTGCTCAAGCAATCATTGTCAATGACAAAGTGACTATTGAAGTTATAATTGTATTAAATTAATGCTAATAATTTGGATATTTTATTTTCTTTTTGGCTGCTCGGGTAACGTTAGCCCTTAACCAAGCATATGTGGTTTTCTTTTTTTTTTCCTTTTTGGGTACAGCTGTAAAATATTTGGATATAGGAAATGTTGTGTTATTCTTGCAGCCTTGATATTCAGGGTGGATTGTAAAATATAAATTTTTGTGAGATTTCAAAGATTAAGATTATTTTGATAACATTATTTACAGATTTAAAAGATGTGGTTATCACAAGTCTGTTGAGGGGAAACTACTGCATAAAATAACTAACTTGGAATAAATATTTTGCATCAGTTTGGATTGTCTTGTGTAAGAATATATTTTCTTTAAAATTAGATGAGTGAATTCTTTTTTTAGGGGAAATGCTTTTAGAAGTCTGAGGGAAATCTGAATTCAGACACACTTGTTTCTCCTTATAGCAGATACTTTTCGATGCAGAAAAGCCTGTGCAATAAATTACCAGTAATAAAACCAGAAACCCAAGTTTCCTTCCTGCAACTGTTTTTCGCTGCCGGTGTGTTTACCAGTGTGCATATTTTAAGGAAGGTCTGTGCCTCAGTTTTCCTGCTAAGTAAGAACTTAGCGGGGTAGGGTTGGAGCCAGTGCTGGCTGGGTGACCAGTGGAGGAGACAGGGTTCTTCATTCAGCAAATACTTCCCAAGCTCTTGTGTGTCTCAGGCATTGTGCAAGACTCTGGGGATACAAGGAGTGCCCAGCCCTGTAGGGAAGAGAATAAACACATTAAAAATGAAACCTTAGACCAAGATCTGATGGACAAGTAGAAGTTAAATGAAACAAGAGGTATTTACTGACACTGGCACTCTGTCCATCCCTACGAGACGTAGTCTCTAATGGATGTAGAGGTCCAAGATCATACTCTAATGGGAGACAAGCCAGAGGAGTTGAACAAGCCTGATTGCATCTTAGAAAGATAACTGACTTGTAGTGTGGGTTCCAGAGGGATAGAGGCTAGAGGCAGAGGAACCAGTATGACATTTGCTAGATTAGATTCTAAAGGTTAGGAAGGCAGAGACCCTATCTGCCACACTGTGTTATAGTCTCTCCTGCTCGTGGTACAAGCAGTCCATGTGCAAACTGTGGAAATGGCGGTTGAGATAGACCAGTAAGAACCATAACTCATATTTCATTCAATATATTTTAAGACATCATTTTATGTACTAAGAAGAAAAAATTTGGGGCTGGCCTGTTGGCGTAGTAGTTAAGTTCTCGTGCTCTGCTTCGGCAGCATGGGGTTCGCAGGTTTGGCTCCCGGGCACAGACTTACACACTGCTCATGGAGCCATGGTGTGGCAGGAGTCCCACATATAAAGTAGAGGAAGATGGGCACGGATGTTAGCCCAGGGCCACTCTTCCTCAGCAAAAAGAGGAGGATTGGCAACAGATGTTAGCTCAGGGCTAATCTTCCTCACCAAGAAAAAAAAAAACTTTCCTGTTAAATTATGACACTCCATTAATTGTGAATCCTGATTTCAGTGTTAAGAAATGTGCATTTTAGAATCAATGAAATACTATAAAATAAACCAAATTGCAAAAGTATTAAACTGGAAATGAAAAGTAGGTTGAGATAGAGATATGGCACCTGTTTGGCCTTGGGCTTTGCCACTTACTAGCTTTCTCTGAACAAATTTCTCAAAGGTACCCTTTTTCTCACTTGGAATTAAGCCAGACTGAGAGCACATACTTGGAAACACGTTATAACCTGCTGCTAGTGGTACTTTGGCCTTACATACCAGTGGGAGGGGAAGGGTGGTCGATATTGGAAGTCCCTGGCTTGTTTAGAAACATGAGCCTAGCTCAGAGCTCCTGCCTCTGGTGGGTGCATATCTTTGGGGAGGTGGTGGGGAGATTTGGCCAGCAGGAAAGGGCCTGCCTCGCCCCTGGCCAGTCTCAAGTGAAGGGGTGCCTTTCTGTATTTGATTCCCTCTTCTGATGGATTCATTATGTTCTCCCAGAACTTTCATTCCTTGGGCTGTGCTTATTATCCTTCCTCTACAGCCGAAAAAACAGGAATCAGGGAACGGGAGTTAAAGAGAGACCACTAACCTCAGTGTGACTTGGTTATGCAAAAGCTGTGGTTGCTTCCAGAGAGGCGCAGTGCAAGGAAGAGCTTTTCAGTCTAGGGAAAAGACATGGTTTCCAGGCAGAATGCTGAAAAGGGAAGACGGCCTCCCCTGCCAGGTGTTCCCTGGAATGGAGAAGGACACTAACTCGGGTTACATCTACTTGGGCAAAACAAGAATGAACATAATACTTACCTGCCAGAGGCTATTTAATGACCAGTGATGGAGTACGTGATACGGGCCCAGCTAGTCTAGGAGGCAGCTGTTTGATCCCCTTTGTTTTATTAACAAATAGGCAGAGAAACCGAGGTGTGGTAGAGACTTGCCCATGCTCGTGCAATGAGGTGGAACAGACTTTGTGACATTTTTTCAAGCCAAGGGCCCCTCCCAAAGGTGACCAAGTCTTCCCCACCCATTCTTCAGACCTGCCCAGACCTGTAGTTGCTGCCCAGGGAGCTAAGTCTCCTCCCCAAACATAAACTCGATCTTGTAGACCCAATAAACCTGGCCTTTCCTCTCTGCCTCTGGCTTTCTGTCTGTTTCATCCTCCTCTCCCTTTCCCCTGCCCTCTCTCCTGTCTTCTGCAGGTCTTGGCTGTGTCAGGGAAGGGGTCCCATCCCATGGCCTCTCACATTGGGGAGCCAGGGCTCCTGCCCTGTGGGTCCTGTGACATGGTTTTCCGCTCCTGGGCCCTGTTGGCCACCCACACTCAGCGCTTCTGCATTGGCCGTTTGACCCGGGAGGTGACACCTGGAGCACAGCCCTCAATGGCTACTGAACCACGGCCCCCCGCGGTAAGGGGCCTCCTCCATGGCCATGGGTGTGTATTCAAGCGACCCTGACCCTCAGGATTCCTCACCCCACACCTTGTCCCCAGGTTGTGCCACAAGAACACCAGGGCCTCCCAGACCAGGAGGCCAGCAAGCCGGCTCTCAAGAGGCTAACAGAGGAGGTACACCGGCTTTCCCCAGAGGCTCGAAACTGAGCATGCTCTCCAAGTCTACAGATCACGCAAGGGTCAGATTACCCCAACACCTCTAGAGATGGCGGGTTACCGTTACCTCCAGGTGCTGCGGCTGCGGCTGTACCTGCAGGAAATGCGACCCAAGATAACAGAGGTCCCCAGGGGCTCAGAGGGGCCCTGGAGGCGTTCAGAGGCGCCGACTCAGGGCCCCACCTCCGAGGCTGCTGGGAGCCCAGGCGAGCGGCTGCGGGCGCTGCACGGGACTCACGCCAGGCGCGTGGCTGAGACGGAGGCACAGAGCCGGGCTCTGGCGCGACGCGACGAGGGTAAGGGGAAAGGTGGGGACTACGGGCCCGCCCCGGCCCTCGCCCCTTGGCATGAGGTTGCTCGGACCGGTTCTCACTTGGCCCCTTACCCCCGCAGAACTGAGCCGGCGCCTCCAAGGTTTGGCCCGGACCCGGGGCGGGATGTCACGCCTGTCTGGCCTGGAGCGGGAGCTTCGAGACCTCCGGGCAGAGGCCGGGCGAACGCGGGGAGCTCTAGAGGAGTTAGGGGCGCACGTTCAGCAGCTACTACCCGAGCCCGGGTGGGTGAGCCCGCGGGCGGGATCCCGGAGCGCCACGGAATAGGCGTGGGGACGGCACGAGGGGCGGGTTCGGCGAGGGGCGGGACGCACGAGGTGTCGGTCAGGACCTGCCGGAGGGCCGCGCCCGTGAGGTCGGGAAGGGGCGGGGCTGCTGGAGGCCAGGTCTGCATCAGTGACTTCTACGCCCGGGTCGCTCCCGACCCCAGGACCGGGCTGAACTCCTTGCGAGAGGCAGAATTCTGTTGTCCGGTGCTACAGGCCAACCCAGGGACTCTGGCTGCCGAGATCGGGTGAGGTCTGGGGCCCGGGGACGGGCATGAGGGCGAAGCGCTGATCAGTTCTGGAAAGACACTGCTGCCTTCTTGTCCCCTACTCCCTAGGGCCCTGCGTGAGGCCTACATTCGAGGCGGGGGCCGGGACCCCGGCGTTCTGGGCCAGATATGGCAGTTGCAAGTGGAGGCGTCAGCTCTGGAGCTTCAGCGGTCGCGGGCCCGCAGGGGTAAACATGAGGGCCCAAACAAGAAAGGCCTCTCGGAAGCGGTGGTCTTCGACCTGGGAGGAGAAAAGGGCAGGGAGGGAGGGCGTCTTTGGCAGGGGACCACCTAAGCAAAAGCCCCCAGGTAGAAAACCTGGGTGGTCTTTGTGGCAGTGGCTAGAATGTTAGATGACAAGTCCAGCCTTGTCCAGAGAGTCCTAAGGCTGGAGACCTGCTCAGAGCCGGACCAGCTGGTCACCAGAGGTCAGAGGTGACAGGTAAGTCTTGTTCATCGCAGGAAGACGGGCAGGTGCCCCATCCGGCGAGCTTCTAGTAGTGGAGGCCGAAAACCGGCGCCTAGAGGCAGAAATCCTGGCTTTGCAGATGCAGAGGGGCGCAGGCCCAGCGCCCTGGGGTCAGTGAGCACCCCACTCCCACCCCGTGTAGCCCTCCCCAGCAGGCCGGGCTCAGAGGAAGGGGTTAGAGGGACTGTGCGTGGAGAAAAAGACGTGTGTTTGTGCCTCGTCCCTCTGTCCACGCGCAGCTCCAGGTGTCCGTGTGTGTGGGTTAGTCTCTCCGGGGAGGGGTATCTCAGCCCAGCTACTGGCTGCATCCTGCTCATGGGCACCCTACTCTTCCTCTGCACTTAGGGCCCCAGGAGCCGAGACTTGTGGCCAATCCCAGCCCATGCCTGAGGAGGAGGGAAGATCCCCCACGCCTCCCGCCACCGGTGCCTCCCCCTCTGCCACTGCCACGGCTTCCACTCTCCACAGGCGGCCTATTTTTGGGTCGCGCCGAGAAGTCTGTGAGGACCCAGGGGTGGGGGCAGGGGCAGCTCTGTCTGCCGTTGGGGGAGCATAAGCACCTAGGAGGCTTTCTGGAGTTTTCAACTCTTCCCCCTCTGCCCAGCCACAGCTTTCTGGAACCATGACCAGGAACCTGGGCCTGGATCCACACTTCCTCCTGCCCACATCTGACCTTCTGGGCCCTGCACCCTATGACCCGGGGTGAGGCCTGCTTCATCCTTTGACATCCTCTGTGACTTGGTCACTACCACTGGTTAAGGAGGCCCACCAGGGCCAGCTAGGGTTGGGGAACTGGCTGGGGGTTGGGGAGATGAGGAATTGGGCTGTGTGTGTAGGTGTCCACTGAGATCTGTGTTCCCCAGGGCTGGCCTGGTCATTTTCTATGACTTTCTGCGGGGCCTTGAGGCTTCTTGGATTTGGGTGCAACTAATGACTGGTTTGGCCCGAGATGGACAGAATACAGGAGGGACCACAGCATTGCCCCCAGCCCTTTGCTTGCCCCCGCCTCCAGCTCCTGGGCCCATGGGCAACTGTGCCATCCTTGCCAGCAGGCAGCCTGTACCCAGGTCAGTAGATGGGGATTATAACTTTGGGGCTCTTTCTTTGCCACAATTGAGGCTTGTCCTTCATTCTTCTAAGTTTTCTATGTATATACATAGCCGCTGGCTCTGAGGGCCAAATCCTAGGAAGAGAGTACAGCCAGTTCTGGCTTCTGACACATTTTTGGTTGTTTTAGACTACCACCCTCACCATCAGTATCCTTGGTCTGTGAGCTACATGCCTCACAGGGGCTGGCATGGGCTAAGGCACCGCAGCCAAAGGCCTGGGCCTCACTGGTGCTATTTGACCGGGATCAGAGGGTGCTAAGTGGCCACTGGCGTCTCCCACTTCGAGCCCTTCCTCTGGACTCCAGCCTTAGCCTTGGGCAGCTAAATGGTATTCCCCAGGTGAGTGTGGAGGACGGGGACTGGCTCTACTCCTCCAGGGTCCAGATGCAGTACCATTTCACCTCTCCCCAGGTAGGTCAGGCTGAGCTCTTTCTGCGGCTGGTGAACGCAAGAGATGCAGGTGTCCAGACACTGGCAGAGATCAATCCAGCAAGTGCCCACAAGTACCAGTACCCACCTCCGGTGAGGGCCCAACTAGAACTAGGGACATCACAGTGTGGTTAATAGCCAGCCTTTGCTGACCCCTGTGTCAAGTCACTACCAAATGCTCCCTGTGGATTAACTCCTGTGACCCTCACACATCCTGTTAGCTAGGTACTACGTAAACAGATAAGGAAATGAGCACACGAGGCTAACTTGGTTCACAAGTAGTAGTCAAGACTCTAAGGTAGTCTGATTCCCGAACCTGTGCTGTTTGTTAACCTCTACATAAACCCTTTGCTAAAGATCTGCCCTCTCCCTGTTCCACAGGTGTCCAGCTCATCTTCACTGGAAGCCAACTCCCTTGCCCCAAGAGCTGGCTTTGTTGACCCCCCTCCTCCTGCAGAAGAGCCCCTCAGTAGCAGAGTCAAGGAGAGAGATGAGGGTTTGGGCCCTCATGGCTTTGACCCACCCCCACTGGCTTTCTGAGTCCTGGAGAATGTGGGTATGAGTAGCTTAACATGCACAGGACTAGAGCCTAGATTGAGTTCTCTTCCCAAACCTGCCCCTTTACTACTCCATGTTCTGACAGAGGGTCCAGAGGCAAATAGCAGATATGAGCACAAACTACAAGCTCCAACCGCAGCTTCACCACCTTCCACAAGTGCTTGGCCTTTCCTTGTTCTTCTTTTGTAAACAGATTGATGTGAGGATTAAATGTCAGGTATTTGTAATACTGCCTGGTATATAGGAAGTTCTTTGAAAGATTACTAGGGGTAACTCTAATTCCAGCTAAAGGAACTTGATAAACTCATTCCCACCTGTTTTTTTGCTGAAGCCAATCTTATTTGCCACATTTCTTCATTCAAATCCAAGCTTTCTCAGGAAGCCTCCAGGCTTCTCAAGGACATCCTCCAAGAAGCCTTATGTATGTACAGATTCAAGGACAGGGTCCCAACCCAATAATGTTCCTCCCAAGTCAGCTGGGGGTGGGGGTGGGGGCAAAGGGGAAGGTGTTCATGTGAACTCTAGCTGAAATTTGATATTACGCCTGGCCCCAGACCCTAGTGTCAACCCATGGTCAAAGGCCTGGGAGTCAAGTATGTCATGACTGTGTTGGCCTGACAAAAAGAAAGCCTCAGGACTTGGAACATGTAACACAAGGGCATCTTCAGGAAGGAAGTTCATAGCCAAGATTCTGCAGCCACGTTACTGTAACCAGCCCAGAAAAACTCCAACCATTTTCTCTTGTATTTATTTTATTTTATTTTTTTTTTTAAAGATTTTATTTATTTATTTTTTTCCCCCAAAGCCCCAGTAGATAGTCACATCTCATAGATGCACATCCTTCTAGCTGCTGCACGTGGGACGCGGCCCCAGCATGGCCGGAGAAGCGGTGCGTCGGCGCGCGCCCGGGACCCGAACCCGGGCCGCCAGCAGCGGAGCGCACGCACGCAACCGCTAAGCCACGGGGCCGGCCCTCTCTTGTATTTATTTAGAGAAACAAATATAAACTCTGAAAAATGGGGTTGACTTGGGGGTCAGCAGAGCTCCCTCTGCCTCTGGCATTGGATGTTCAAACAGCAGGGTCTAATCTACTGTCTGTCCAGTACAGCAAAGCAGCCCTGTGGGTGTCAGAATTATTAAATCTCTTTAGGTAACATAGGGCAGGCACCATTTAGAATCCAGATCCAAGGGGCCGGCCTGGTGGCGCAAGCGGTTAAACGTGCGTGCGTTCTGCTGCGGCGGCCAGGGGTTTGCAGGTTCGGATCCCGGGCGCGCAACGACGCACCGCTCGTCAAGCCCTACTGTGGCGGCGTCCCATATAAAGTGGAGGAAGATGGGCATGGATGTTAGCGCAGGGCCAGTCTTCCTCAGCAAAAAGAAGAGGATTGGCAGATGTTAGCTCAGGGCCGATCTTCCTCACCAAAAAAATAAAAATAAAAAAATAAAAATAGAATTCAGATCCAAACAGTGCCTGGTGCATAGCAGGTTCTTAAACTAAGGGTCAGGTCAGAGGCAGCTCAATCAGGGTCTCACACTAGCCCTGAACCCTGGACATCATTGAGGGCCCAAAGGGATAGCTTTAGTGCCAGTGCCCTGAGCACCAGCACCTTTGGACTGGGCATCCAGAACTGGTGGGCAAGTTTCCGCCTTTCAACCCCATATCCCAAGCTGAGATATTCCAGACACCTCGGAATCCTGCTATAAGATCTTTAAACACAAGTCCAGACTAGGAGCCTTTTATTAGCATCTTTATTTGAGAAGTCAAAACTGCGGATGGGTAACAATTCCAAGTGTTGATATATTTCAACCTTTCTGTACAGAAAATAACAAATATAACTTAACCAGCCAGCCTCCCCACAGATTCTTCCAATCACATCCAAAGTGTCCATCAGTCAGTCCTTTAGCCACTTTCAAACCAGAAAACTCAATTCTGTACAATTCGCAAACCAGTTCTCCTCAAGGATCACCACCCGCCCTGAAGCTTTCTTTAGCTCTTTTACCAGGACAGGATTATGGCCCAAGCTGGAAACTAAGTGGATAAAAGACAGGTACCACCCAAGGCCTGCCTGAGAGACTGTTACCAGCTCACAATCAAAGTCCATCAACAGTATCAGCACCAAAGAGCAAGATCTTCACCAAGTCTTATTTTTGTAGCCCCCATCCAGGGACAGCACCACTGCAGGTTTGCAAGACGGCTGGGTTCAATCAAGTATTTAAAATGGAAAAACTATAGCACCATTGGAAGACAATGGGCCCACAGCCAAACTTGACTTGATCACCTCCACATTAGACAGACAGGAATTTGGATTAGAACTTCCAACACAGAGGTCAACAGAGAAAGGGGAAAAAAAAAGTACCTTTGGCCACTATATAAAACCCAGAGTGCTCCAAGGCACAGATTCAGCCAAAATTTAAGAAAAAAATCATCAAAGCCTCAACCTTTGCTTACAATCTTTATTGAAGTTATACAAAAAGAATCCCCAAAAGTGAAAAAATACATTATATACAAAAACACTTTCCCTCAGAAGGAAGGCTCTGCTCCCTCTCTTAACATGCAGTGCTTTCCACTGTAGCTCCGGCCTCCACTGTCCCCTCCACTGCTGCCTGGCTTTCAGCCTGATTCTCAGCCTGGAAGATAAACAGGGAGCCTGGGCATAAGTGACCCTAGTTTAAGCCATTCTATCTTTTACAACTGAGCAGGCCTCAGTCAGAGGAAGTAAACACAGAATCCCCAAACTCTGCTTTACTCTCTACACTAACAGGGCAATGACCACAAAGCGTAAGCCATTTCCTAAACTCTCTGTAACAGAGCTGACAGAGCTATTGTTCAGATGTTACATGGAAAGGAGAAAGCAGAAGTGACCCCACGGTCTTGCCAATCGAGTGCCTCCTTATACGTGCATTAGCAGGGGGTCTGTGGTATGTGCATAGGCTCCATTAGTCCATAACCATAACTGTTTCCTGCACAATCATTGTTTTTATGAGGGTTGCACTCAAGCAATCCAAACAGGCTCAAGGTGGGGAACATGCACTTGGGAGGACTGGTTTCCCCATGCCCTGAGAACAAGAGGAAATGAGGCAAAAGTCCAAGCCCTGCTTAACTGCCCACCTCCTCCTCCATGTTTTCCGAAACTTCATTTCCACTGGAGACAGCATCCCCACTGCCTCCATTCACTTCCGGCTCTTGTTTGGCTTTCTTTGTATCATCTTTCCGGGGGCTCTCTTCCTCTGGTTTCCTCTAAAGATATAATTGTGAAGGCTTCACAATATGCTTAATGTTTTTAAAAGGACAACTGCAAAACAATTCCTTAACACCCCCCTCTCAGCCATCGTGCAAAGATCCTGAACACCAGGATTCATAGTTCTAAGGGTCTCTCCCTAGCCACATGATGCAGGTGCCAACCTGTACTCTGCAGAACAAACTGGTCTGCCCCAACATACCAATTCAGCCTCTTGAATGGAAGGGTGGGGTGGGGGTGAGAAGTAGATCTGAATAGTCCAACACAGGTTTGAATTCCTGCATTTGAGACAGGAAACAAAGCAGGAGTTCCCACTCCCCACAAGAGATAAAAAAACTACTGCAACCACAGGCAGAAGGCAGACTCATGGGAGTTTAAGTATCAGCAGGTCTGCGGCTGAATGACTAAACTACTATCAAAGAAAACTGCCAGCTTCCTCCAGTGGCCTGATCTGACCAATCCTCCACAGCAGCTTTCCTGATAGGAGAGTTCTGCGAGAAGAGGTATTCAAGTGAAACTATCTTCACTCACAAATCCTCACCACCTTTGCAAAATGAATGTCTTATTGCACCAAGTATTAGGACTGTTTATAGGAAAGGTATTCCTCATGTATCATTTGGAGAAAAAAAAATGCAGACTGGGAAGACAGAAAAGAACTGACTGCATGCAGATTTACCTTCTTTCTGACAAGATGGGAAATATCAGTCACACAATTTGATGAGGAAGCACCATCTGTCGGCTTTCTACTGGCAATCTGGCAAAAAGGAAGCTTTTGTTAGCAATGTGTATGAAACAAACACTGAAGCCTAATACTAAGTGAAGCAAAAATCACCTAAATACCCACCATGGAGACTGAAGAGCCTCCTCCACTTGGCATGAAACCTGAAGTAGAGCTCTCCACCTGTGAGAGATGACAAACCCAAGTGGGTCCCAGGACAGAACCCGCCAGGCCACCCGGAGTCCTACAACAGGTACCCACCATCCAAGCAGCTGATTAAGACCTCAAATACTAGTGACCTCCATATAGTAGCAACATTATCCACCCCCTCTACTTGCACCCCCCACCCCCCACCCAGGCATAGGCAGAGTGTAGATACGAAACTAAACCCTGCATACCCTGTCATCATCAGCAGGGTACAAAGCTCCCTGACATTACAGCAGCCAAAAGCAGAGCCAGGAAATCTGGGGTTAAAAGCCTTCAATACCTCACTAATCTATACAGAGGAGTTCTCAGAGATGGAAATAACAGCTTACATTTGTTAGGCAAATATTATTTGTCTTGTACTGTCACAAGTATTTTAACATACAGGTAGTATTATCCCCATTTTACAGATGAGTCAGCTAAGGCCAAGAAATGTTAAATAACATGCCCATGGTCACACACAGTAAGCAGCAGAGATAGAATGCAAACCCACACAGTCTGGCTCCAGAGTATATTCTCTTAAGCATTATACTATTTGATAAGAATAATTAGATGAGTTCTCACATTCCCTCTGACGACCAACTCCCTGGAAATCAAGTCATGACTAAGATTTCTAGCAAATGGAACACTAATACCATGGTACCTTCAACAATATCAAACATGCTATTATCAAAACTTTAAAATGAAACCAAACCAACCAGAGTTGCTTTCAGAGCCAATTCAGCTACATTCCCACTATGCTGAGACTCCTTTGCATCTTCTATCTTCTCTCTAATTTCAGGTAGCAGTTCCTTCAGCTCCTCAATCTCTTTCTGGTATTCGGTAGGTGATCCTTCAGCCTCCTTCATCTGCTCATTTAGTACAGCTACAAAGAACAGGCTGAAGTGATCAGTAATAGCTACCACAAAAGGATCCACCTTTTTTACCTTGTCAATTACTGGATCCACCAAGATCTTGAAAACAGCTGATGGTCACTCACCCATTCTCTTCTCAATGACTTCAATAGATTTGCTGAACTGTGCCACTGCCTCA